TTTAAGACCCGCCCCCCCCCCCACACGAATGATCCTGTGGTTTAAACTTGAGAACTCATTAGCTGCACAACAGGAGGACGCAGTCAGCTGCTCCTGATACACCAGCGGCCCTCTGCTCTCAGGATGGAGCAACATTAACCTGACCATCTGGCCAGTCTAGACACATTACAGCTTAATGTCAGGTACAATCTGGAGGGTGGCACACAGCAAGCTTCAAAGTCAACCAGAAGACTTTTAAGCCTGTTTGATTGACAGCTGATGGTGGGAAAAAGAAATAAAGACATTTCCAAGATTTCTTTGTAAATGTGAGTCACTGTGAATCATTTTTAAGTAGTTTTTCTCAAAACCTTTGTGATCTTATACTGAAACCAAGTCTATGGGCTGACTCAGGGGTCAAAGTTCTCATTAGATCTTAGTACATTTGTTTCCAACACCACTCACTTTAAAACAAATAGCATCTTTACCATAGACTATGTTGTGCATTTTCAGGTCAATGAGTATGTAAGATTGCTTTAACTCTATGTTGTAATTCACACTGAAAGCAGTAGTTCAACATTTTGGGAACTATACTTATTAGTTGTGTTGCTAAGACTGAGATGAGGAAATTGATACTACACTCATATCTGAGCTGGAGCCAGGAAATCATTAGCTTTAGCAGAAAGACTATGAACTAGGAAATGGAAACTGGCTCTGTCCAGAGGTAACGATATCTGCCTAACAGTAAACTATTGTTGTTATGCTTCAGTTTTTACACACATTACACAAAGGATATATACTGAAACATAAGTAGGCGGATTGTTACCTATGGACAGCACCAGGCTAGCTGTTTACCTGTTTCCTTTTTGCTGGGATGGGGTTTTTTGAATATTTCAATAGTCGTTACATTTAAAAAAGTTGAATATTTAAACAATTGTTGAATACTTTTATAGTTTTCAGCAGATATTGAATAGCATTTTAGCTTGAAAAGACCATCCCTACTGTTTCTGCTAAGGCATCCAACTGCTGGCTGTAGCTTCATATTTTCCACGCAGAGATGAGAATGAATCTCTTCATCTCACTCTCAGCAAAGAAAGCAAGTAGGCTTATTTTCCCATAATGTTGAACTATTCTTTTAAATAATGCTACTGCCAAAACAAAAACTGGTCTTCGTTACATCTGATTTTGTAACATTTGTTACTTCGCTGAACCGTTTCCTGTTTCCTACCTGACAGTGGTCCTCTCTGAGGCGAGGTGAGGGTGCCTGTGTGGTCCACCCCTCCAAAAAGAGCCAGCTCAGGCGTGTTTGTTGGGGCATGCTGGTGCTGCCCTTGATGCCCCCGTCTGCCTGTACCAACGGCTGGGCTCCTGTTGGGGGTTTGGGTCTGCTGGGTGGTGCCCAGATGGTGGAGGTGCCCGCTGTCTGAGCCGGTGCCGATGGTGCCATCCAGGCTCATGGAGCGCTGGCCTGGCTCCTTGGGCTTGCTCTTGCCCGCCCCCATGTGCAGACCTGAGATAAGAGCCATTGATGAGTAAGACTGCAGTTCTTTAGTTCCAAAAGGATGAAAAGGCCTGTTATGGGTTGTTTGTTTTAATAATGGATGAACTGATTAAAATAATCAAACCAATTTTCATTTTCTAGCTTTAACTTCTCCAATGTGCTTTATTCTATTTTACAGCACTATAATATAAATAGCTTTGAAATTTGGAGGGATGGTTGGACAAAAAACATTTAAAACATCTCACTTTGGACTTTGTTGGATAACCAACGGATTATTCAATAATGAAAATATATATTTGCAATCCTAATTCAAAGATATATCCTACTGCTTTAATCCATCCTGACAGGATATGAAAGGTGCTTTTAAAAGCATTCAGGAACAGAAATTGATCCTGTTTCAGTTTCTATTCTACACCTTTCTCAAAAAGAACCTAACTAACAAATAAAAAATAAAATAAATTCCCCTCAGCAACATGTACATTCAAGGTCTTTCCTATTGGTTGAGTCAATATGTTTGGAATCAGTAAGTGTCTATGAGAAAAATTTCAAACAAAGGCGTGGTGAGCTGTAATGAAACTAAGTGTTAAAAGTGGTGAGTTGTAATGAAACTTAGTGTTAAAAGTGGTGAGCTGACAGGGGCAGGAAATGATTTCATCTTCTGCAGGTAATCACTTCTTTCCATCCTGATGCTGAATTCACCTATTATGACCTGATAAATGCAACAAGTTAAAAGTGCGCTATCATCATGAGCGCAGACAGACATGCTCAGACAGTCGAGCGCACCCACAGAGAGTCGGAGTCCAAACCTCCCCTCGAGGCTTTGTAGAGTGAGTCATTGTGAGACCGGCTATTTCAGGCCAGCTGAAACAGAGACAGACACATGAAACAGCCTTGTTCTTTTGTTAAGAGTCTATGTGCCATGTGTGTGCCTCTGTGTGTGTACAGTATGTGTTGGTACATGAGCAGCTGTTCCTTGGTCTCTGGGAAACAAGACTATCTCACACTAACACTCAACCACAGTTGCATCTCATATCCTTTTTCCAACACATGCAAGTGTGCATATTTCCAACACATTCGTGTGTGAACCTGATAGACGGGACCGGGAGGGTTATTAACAGACAAGGAGGAAGGAACTGGTGATGGCTGGAAAAAGAACGTGTAGGTGGTTGTTGTATACTGCATGGACAGCTGAGGCTTAGTGGGTGTTTTAAGTGTAATGTGCATACAGAAGATAATTACACAGGTATAGGATTTCTCTGAGATATGGTAGGATCCCACTGTGGAGAAATGTGGGCATGTAGGCTGCTGAATTACGTAAATGTGCTGGATCGTGAGCAATTTTAAGCACACACCTACAGTCATGCAAGCCTCGATCTGGCACACTGGGGGGGTTAACATTTCCCATGGTGCAAATCTCAGTCACTTAGATATAGGCCTGTAGGCCTGTAGGGCTGCAGAAGAAGATGGACAGGAGGTGTGTAACCGGTAAACTGCTCAGTGTGGCCGCTAAGCAGCTGCTACTGTCTCAAACATCTACCAGCTCACTGACGATCAGAGAACCACTGTTATTTAAAGGCCAAAACAAAAGCCAAGTCTAATGGATTGTTGTCTTAACAGATTTTAAACAGTAAAGGAGACACTTATGCAACAGCTTTATTTAGCAGTGCACGTAGCCAGTGTATACACCAATCAGCAATAACATTGTGAACACCTGCCTAATACTGTGTACACAGGAGTCAATGTAACAGTTGGTTGGCACTCGTGTCACTCTGTGGTTCACAGTGCATTGCTGTGAATCCGTTTGCTTCCGTGGTTTTACTGTCTGAATCATTTAGTGCTAAAATATGTAAGAGTGAGAATTCATATACCCCACACACTGACAGGTGCCATTGTAATCATTGTCTTGATACAGCCAGCACTACCTAAAAACTTACTGGCTTAAAGAAAGTCAAGTCGATTAATGACAACTCATCAGATTTAAGCACACACTGATGAGGAGAAGTAATGATCCTCATCGAGCACTGCAAACTGTACACAGTACAGTGATGGTAGAATTCGTATCCTTTGAGAGTCACGGCGCACACAGCGTCCAACACTTAGCACTGGCTCGCTCCAGGATTATGCACACACCAGAGTATCCTGTGTATGTAAACAGAGCCACCACTGCCGCTGAGCCTCACGCCTTTCCCTAATATGGTGTCAAGAGTGCCCTAATATCATGAAGCCCTAACATGTGGCTCTTTCCAACACTGATACAAAAAATGGAGGAGAATGAATAAGTGGACACGATACAGCTAAGTTGACAAAGTATAGAGGATAGATAAAAAGGACCAGCAGGTACTGTAAAGTCTGACACAGAAATAGGGGAGAAATAAAAAGATGGAAAAAAGAAGTGGAGGAATGGGAGATAAATAGAGATTTCAATCCCTTGTGAATTTTTCCATTCAACGAGAGCATGGAGGAATGTGGGAGAACCAGATTGCACCACACAGCTATGACTGCCAGAGACTACAGCAAACAGTGTGAAGCCAGGATGGGAGGAAGGAAGCAAGGAGGGAGATGGAGTAGGGGTAACGAAGAGTATTTTTCTGGTTTCCAAGGGCACAAAATCTAAATGTTATTCTTAAAGAAACTTGCATTAGATCATCGTGATGTGTCACTTTTAAATCAAAATCAACAGTTTACTCCTATTTTTTGTACTGTATTTGTGCATGTATTTATTTGTATTAATATAGTGCGTTCCATAATTTAAAGCAGTAGGATACATTTCTGAAATGAAAGGCGCTGTGAAAAAGTTAGCATCAGGAGTGATACCGCACAATACAGAGATATGCTGACTATGTGAATTGAATGTGTGGCTGGTTGTTATGAGAGGGTAGATTTTAAAGATTAGATGTGAATCATGAAATAGAGGCTTCATTCAGAGTGGTATTTACCCCAGAAGCACAGTGGAGCACAAGAGCACTTCAATATCCGCAGTACATTTATCACTAACCTGTGTCTCTCTCACAGTCTCAGTGTTGACTGAGTCATAAAATCTATAAAACTGTCTCTGTACATGAACTGAATGCTGGGTGAGAGGGAAAAACTGTGAGCAAAGTGAGAGAAAGTAAAGGAAGTGAGAGTGAAAGGAGTGTAGGTTAATAAAGCAGGCAAGTCCTAACACTTTTCAGGATGTGGAACCGCATCACTTCAGGCCAGTAGTTTAATTATGTGTCATTTACTCTGCTCTAATCTGCCTTGAAGACAAACCAACGTTGTCATTTCAGGTCTGATTCCTGAGTTAAACAATAGATTCACATTTTTTTAAAGTCTTAAAGCAAGAACTCACATGGCCATACACTGAAACAGTTTCTGATTGTGGAAGCTAATGTTCAGTCTGAGTCCGGTAAAACCCAACTCCTTGCTGTGTTTTCACACAAGGAGCTGTGTTGATCAGGGGGGTGAGGGGTTACAGGGGGAGCGTTGTAAGTGTGCACGATACGGACACACTGTCACGAGTTGACATGAGGGGGCTTCATTCCAGCCCACAAGTTTCCATTGTGTTTTGGTTAGCCACGCTGCTACTGTAGCCTACTCTACCTTAGCCTACTCTACCTTAGCACCAATTTCTACCACCAGTGTGTCAGCATCCGGTACATTGGGTTTTGACTAGATACTTCCAAAACTAGTCATTCCCACCAGCCCCAGATGTACTGCACAGTGTTTGCTGCTAATTAGCAAATGCTAGAATGCATTAAAACATTGTCACTGTGAGTGGCTAGCATGACTGTAGGCTTGTAGTCCCTCTTAATTAGTGTGCCTCCGCCATACCTCAACAAAGGACCTTTGTTGGAGGAAATAAGGAAATTTGGCACTAAAATGGCTATAACTCAGGAAGATACCCACTGGAACGCTGCTGGTGCTGAAGCTTTATATCAGATTAGACTGTAATTGAAAACTCATTTTGGCACATAATGAGAAGTGTGGATTTTGTCTCATAGATCACATCAAGAGGGAATCTCTTTGTGGCAAAATTTAGAATTAGGATTTACATGCGAGTGCTATATTAACATTGATTTGTAAATCTTTGATCTACAGTTAAATTTGTGCTCCTTGCAATTACTGAGTTATTTGTGGCAAAAATTAATTTGCCAATTTTGCAATTTCACTGTATACTACAAACCAAATGAAAAATGTGTACAGATTATGTTCTATGCCGTTTGATAGAGAAATCTGCCACCAAATGACTGAATATCCTTTTTCAAAGTGCTAAATTTAAATCCAACTCATATTTCAGGGCAATATTTACTGCTGAAATGTTCCCCTCTATGATTTCACATGCGGTTCTTTCTCAGTTCCCCTGCTTGGTCAGCATTTATAATCCTCCATCTTAAGCCGAGCACACTTCGAGTACATTTCTGGTCAAACACATAAGCACATTTGGCCATGACAAACTGAGTCACAACAGACGGTAAGAGTTGCCACCGTGAGGCAGAGTGAATGAGCTCGAGCCAATGTTTCAGTTGAACAGGAAAATTACAGTTTGGCCAAAGGAGGGGAGGTGAGTGGGGGGGCACAACGATGGTTCCTCATGATCAAAAAGAGAGGTAACATGCACATTAGCATCATTGTTGTATCCTGCTATACACTGGATGATAACATGCAACAGTGCAGTCCACATGCATGTATAATACATACAGTAGAACCTCTATAACCTCCATCAGACAGAGAGACAATGGGCAACTGATTTAAAGAGAACCAAAGAAGAAGACAGCACAGTTACATAACCACCAGGTCATGTCCTGTTTCAGTACTGGTAATGCAGGAATCACATGGTCTGATATGTGTTTCCCAAATCTTTGGTTTACCCCATTTACCTCAGAAAGTCCATCTCATCTTCTCTCTTCCTTGATGACACACATGAGGAGGAGGAGGAGGAGAAGGGGATATGTGACACAGCTGATAAAACCCATTTCCGTTTTCTGTGCTCTTTAACTGGTGGGTCAGGCTATGAAAAACCGCTGCTACAGGATGATTAATTCTGTCAAGGAGGACATTAAGGCTGATGTCAGTGGTGCCACACTCTTAGCAAATGCTTGTCTGTTATCAAGGACCGCACGTAATTGCAAATTCATTTGACAAAATATTAAATAGAGTAATATTTGTTCTTTCCCAAAACATGCTGTATATACTGCATAATGGAAATGTATTCTGTTCATGTGTTTGACAAAAAAGGTATTTCAGAACCTGATAGACATAAAGCCAGAGCTGGAAAGTAACCAAGTACATTTACTCAAGTACTGTACTTAAGTACAATTTTGAAGTCTCTCTACTTTGAGTATTTTCATTTTCTGCTACTTCATAATTCAACTTCACTATATTTTAGAGACAAATATTGTACCTTTTGCTCCCTACATCTATTTGATAACTTTAGTTCCTTTTCAGAATGAGATGAATGAAACAAAACAGCATAATCATCAGACTTTATTGATCCCTGGTGGGAAATTCACAAGCTACACAGCAGTATATAAACTACTCCAAATTACATAAGATTGTTGAAATTAGGGTTGTGTTACATACACAATAATTATAGTCCAATAATATGTGCATTCACGTGTAATATGCTATTCTGCAAAATGAGTACTTTTACTTTTAGTACTTTAAGTTGTTTTGATGCTTACTGTTGTATTTTTACTGAAGTACCATTTTGAACGCAGGACTTTTACTTAAAACAGCATTTTTACACTGCGGTATTGCGACTTTTTCTTATGTACACAGTCCCAGTACTTCCTCCACCACCGCTTAAAGCCAACTAGAACTGTCACAGTCAAAGTGACTCATAGCTGGTCAGTTGAAAAATATTAATTTACTTTTATGATGGTGAATTGGATATATTTTTAGGATGTGAACTGCTGAACAGACAAAACAAGACATATAAAGATGTAACCTTGAGCTTTGGGAACTTCTGATGGATGTTTCTTCATATGCTTGGTAATCTTTACTTGCAGCCCTAAAGCCAACATCAATCTTCTACTTCCCCCTGAAAGAGATAATACTATGTATTTTGAGCTACTGGGTGTCTCAGCTTGTTAAACATTATTTGAGGAAGTTATTTTAAGAATGGCTATGGAACCAACAGTCTGTTGGGCTATTTCTCTTGGCTTGCATATTACTGTATCCTCTAAGGTTGTCCAGCTGTAAAAAAAAAAAAGAAAAAAGAAAAAGCCTATGTTAAATTGTCTGCCATATGGAAATTAGTTGGAACTCGCCCAAAACCCTAAAACCAACCATATATAGATTAGCCACATAATTAAAATTGTATTTCCACGGGATTAAACACCAGTTGTCTGCAAAGCTGCTTTGAGAAGGGGTGGGGTAGTGGCTGCCTACAGGAGCAGCAGCTGTCAGAATGATAACGTATTTTCTATGGGGAGCAATAAAAAAACACCCAAATTATTTTGGCAAAATGATCCACATTCGGCACGTAAACAGGGATTTGTGAATGGGAACAGAAATAAAAGGCGACAAAGATGCTGTGACTGTCGTAGGCTTCGGCTCACATACACTGTATATGCGGCCTGATGAATAAAAACAGGTGTTGACACCGCTCCATTTTGAATGTCGAAGGATTGTTGGCTTTATTTTCTGTGCATAGTCGATTTACTACGTCTTCCCTGTGCATATGTGGTGGTGAGAAAGATTTTTAAAAAGAGACACTTGAACATGGTTTGCATTTCGTGTGTGGTGTAGTAAATGGTAAGCAGTGTAGCCCTAGCTGGCACGGACTGGATGGCACTGACCAAAACGTGCGAGCAACACTGACTGAATGGCCTGTGCAACAATGAAACACGAGTCAGCGCAAGGGGGTATCATACACGGCGTGTAAAACCACTGTATGAGAAAACACACAGCAACAGACCGCAGCCCCTCCGGTGCAAGTCTGAACAAAATCACATTTTACAGCCAAAAGCTCTAACTGACTCACCTTTGACGCGTCTTGAGATTCAGCTCAAAAATCAGAGACGCGCAGCGAGGAACCGTGTCAAATCCTTATCGCTGCCCTCATTAGAGAACTAATGGAACCGGTTGGCCAGTTGCTGTGGAAACCTCGGGCCAGCCACAACTCCCATTTAGCGAATTTCGGCAGAATCCGAGGAGGAGGAGGTCATGTCGGGGACTGCCTTCTGGAGCAGGGGGCACAGCTGACGGGCGGCTGCGGTGGGCCGGACAAACACCAATCCTACAGTAGCCTGTTCAGCTGGGAAGAGTCGTCGGCGCGGAAAATTCATGCGACGAAGCAGGAGTGGTGTGGAGTGGTGAACACATGCCTCGTACAGGGAAAGGCACGGGATAGTGCATCACTGGCGAAAGACGAGAGTGCAAATATGACGAGCTTGGGTCTTACGTTTTTTGCGCAGCAACGGCGGAGTCAAGAAGACGTCGCTTTGCGTAACTCCACGCTGTAGTAGTTGAACTCGCCGAGGCGTTGGCGGTCACGACAAGTCGCCCGTTTATCTTTTCCTAAAGTCATTTGTAGTCACGATTGAAACTTTTTTTGCACTAAAAGTAGGCTAGTTACAACACCACCACAAAAATGTTAAATAGCTAGCGTTACTTCGCGTTAGGTACATTGCTAGGCAGCAAGACTGGTTGCTAAGCGACACACACTTTACCGGGATTGGCGCAGTAGCATAAAACATTTACCATTATGCAGTTTCACACGTGGGCTGTTAGGAAATTTCAACGTTAACGTTAACGATTAGGACACGAAAACTACGAAATTATCATTAGGCGACTTGATATTGAGTAAATAAAATGGCAAGTCATTTGAATCAGTTGCAATAACAATTCATTATCAAGTAATTACCCTTGTTAACGGATAAAAATCCAAATAGTTAAATATATTTTGTTCGACCAACAGCCTAAAATCACATAAGTTTACAGTTGTTTAAAATACACACAACATCACATTTGGTAGGCTGAAATGTGAGATAGGCTATTTGGTAATGTTTATTTAAAAATGACAGAACGACTAACAGCTTTCAAAATAGTTAATAACTAACGGATCAACCAACTTTTGCAACATTAATGTTGCTCCAAATTCCATTAACACTTCTTAGTTAACTGGTTTGTTCTTGACTTGCATATCTTAAATTCTTGGACTAATTCCTGATTCCCCGTGACGCCTTATCCATTGTGCCTGAACAGGATATTGCGTAAATGTAAAAACAAACAAACAAAAACCAACAGTTTATTACATATACCTATCCTGTAGTGAAACAGACATGATATAGTCTATCGTACAGGAGTAAATACAACAGGATGTGCAGTCTGAGCTGAATGGCTACATGATGTACAAACCCACATTAGAAAAAGTTGGACCAATAAACCATAACAAAATTGTGATTTGTAAATTCTATGTCCTGTATTACATTGAAAACAATACAGCACCACATTATTTGTTGTGTTACATAAGTATAAGGTACCATTGCCAAGGACACTGACACAACCCTAGACCATGATGGACCCTGGCTTTTGGACTTGCTGGTAATAGTCTAGATGGTCCTCTTCGTATTTGGTGCTGAGCACATGGCGCCCATTCCTTCCAGAAAAGACCTGAAATACTGATTCGTCTGACCACGTTTCCACAGTTTGATGGTTGACTGTGCTCCTGGACACTGTTGACATAGGGGTTCTTTTTGGCACTGTAGTTTTCAGAGGCATTTATGGATGTAACTACACATTGTAGTGCCTGACACAGGTGTACCAAAGTAATCTTGAGCCCATGTGGTTATGCAGCTTATAGAAGGGTGACGATTCTTGATGCAGTGCCGTCTGAGGGCACGGCCATCCAGCTTAGGCTTGTGCTTTGGCCCTTTATGCACTTAACCCCCCCCCCCACCATTCCTTGGCTGTTTTTATGCACCATAGAGGGTGACATATCCAAATCCCTTCCTATCTTTCTTTGAGGAACGTTGTTTTTAAACAGTTCAATACTTTTCTGACACATATGTTGGCAAACTGGCGGTCCTAGGCCCATCTTTGCTTGTAAAGGACTCGGCCTTTCCTGGATGCTTGTACCAAATCACTATTGCAGTCACCTGTTAACATCACCTGTTTCAAACGGAATTGCCATTTCATTTGTTTTACCTCATTATTGGGCCTGAAATGCTGTACTGTCCCAGCGTTTTAAATATGTGTTGCAGGCATCAGAAATGAAGCAAGTGTTTATTCTGAACAAATAACACCAATTAAGTGTCGCATCAAATAATCTGCTGCTGTATTGTTTTCAATGTAATACAGGACACAGATGATTTACAGATCACAATTTTCAGCTTTAATTTTACATACCATCCCAACTTTTTCTCATTTGAAGTTTATTTATTTGTCTGTTGTAATCTAAATACAGTTCTATTGATGACATTCATTTATAAAAGAATAGAAATTCAAAACACATATACCTGTACTCACTAATATGTGCAGCAGTCAGCAAACACCATAGCAAATTGCTCCTTGTAATAATGTGTTAAATGTGAATAGGACACAGTTCATTTATTATTTTGAAGTCAAATTCAGTGGACATTATTACTTACCGTCATAATATGACATTAGTGTTTTAAATAGCTTTAGTGACAACTGTACTGGTAACTTGCCAATTCATGACTCTGATGATTATGCACACAAGCAAGAAACACAGATGCAGACCGACTTGCACACAGAGTTATCTATCGCTTCTTTTTGCTCTCTTTCTTTGCTTTCTGTCGAATCTGAGGTGCTGGTCCTTTAGTTTTCTTCATCTGTTCAGCTGCCTTGCCATCAGTGGATTCGGTCTCCTCCTGCAGAGCAAGCACAGGAAGCATAAAACACCCTGACATTTCAAAAGAAATCCTGAGTCACAGAAATATGATGCCAAAATACATGACTACTAAGCATGATTAGATAAATGTGCTTTGAAAATCGATTTAGATACTGCTATTGCTGACTAAAAGAGTATTGGCCAAGGTATTACTTTCAAAGTAAATATGGAATGAAACTGCACTCAGGGAGTTAGTAATTAAATATACATTTTGGTAACGCAGTTTTATCGTTTGCAGGTCTCCAGATTGCCAAGTCTTTGTGTAATATTATCAAAATTAATTAAACAGTTGAATGAAATTCAAGAGAGTTTTTGAGACACACACAAAAGAAATTCAGACATGTCTCAGGATTTCCGCTGTCAGTATTGTTTCTGTGAGTGCAATCTGTCCTATTGTTCTGGCAGGGAAGAATGACAGTTGGATGCTGTGAAGGGTGAAATGGCAACATACTGTGGAGAGAGTAATCAGTGCATCTGATGAAGACGTCTGAAAATAAAACAGACAGTGGATTTAATTGCTCTTGCCAATAAATAATCTAACCAGACAATTGCTGGTATAGACATTGTGACAGTAACCCTTTGTGGCTTTTTTGTAACAAAATTGATTTACAGCAGAATCCATAGATCAAGCCACAGTGTAAATGTCTCTGATGTTTTATTTTGCAGCGTATTGTGTTCAGTCCCATGGAAATTAAGATGTAAAAGAAAATAAAGGCATTCGCTGACACCTTCTTCACATGACAAAAGCACATGTTCGTTTGTGGACATACAGTATATCAGCCATAGCTGGAATTATATACAGCAGAAAAAAAGTCTAGATTTGGTCTAAATCTGGGCATCACTCCCCTCACAAAAAGACTGAATAAGGTTTTGAAAGTCAAATCTTTAATTTGACTAAGAAATTGACAACTTGGTTCCAACCCCTTAAAATTCTGCCCAAATGTATTTTTTAGTTAATCAAATACATCAGCACAGTGAAAACAAAACACAAATTCAATCTGATTATCGGGTTAGACTGAGTGTATGCATCCAAATGGCAAAAGTTGATCAACTTACTTCCCCTTTGCTCTAACTTTAGGAAACATGGGGTGTCTTTTCATTGTTATGTGGACGACATCGAGATTATTATGCCACCGAGTAAGAAGGACACCTACTCGATTCAACCGCTTTTAGCATGTCTTGCCGATATTAAGGGCTGGATGTCGTTAAATTGTTTAAAGTTCAATGATGCTAAAACTGAGGTTATAGTGTTTGGCCAGAATACGTCTGGTGACTCTCCTCCTGTAGACTTAGGTTTCTTGAGGCAGTATGTGCGACCGGTGGTCACTGATTTGGGTGTGAAAATAGACTCCGATTTGAAAATGGAGAACTAGATAAAATTCGGTCGTAAAATCTGTTTTTTTCTATTTAAGGCAGTTAGTGAAAGTAAAACCCTTTTTGTTGCGGCGGCATTTTGAGACAGTGATCCATGCGTTTATTACATCTCGTATGGATTACTGTAATGCACTGTATGCTGGAGTTAGTCAATCGGGTCTTGCCCGCCTCCAGAGGGTCCAGAAATGACGCCGCTCGGTTATTGGTTGGGGGGTGTAAGAGGGACCACATAACGCCAGTGCTGGCATCTCTCCATTGGCTTCCAGTGCATTTTAGGGTTCGTTTTAAGATTCTTTTATTTGTTTATAAGTCCTT